CTGAAGCAAAAGATTCTTGATCGAAATTTTCCAATTCAGTTTGCCATTTTTCATAAAACTTAGATGCTTGTTCAAATGTTTCCGTTTTTATTCTAAAATTGATGAGTCATTAACAAATTCTAAGGTTTTAAAAAGCTTTAAAATAAAATAAAAAAATAAAGTAATCTATTAGGATGGGTAATAATTTATGTTGTTCCAAATTTTAAATTCCAAATTTAAAAGTTCAAAAAAGCAAGTACTAATCAGTTATGACAGCGAATAAATTAAAATATTAGGTGGTACAATAAGTGCCACAGATTTTAATTTAAATTCAGTTCTGGTTGACAAACATTCAAAATAAAGTTCATCATAAATGTAGGCCAAAAAAATATTTGTAATCTAAACAAAAAAATCGCCGCAAATATGCTTGCTCATAGAGCCGAACATCCTTTTTAAGAAGACATCTAAAAATGGGTCACAAAAATGATAGTGAAGACTTAGCTGGTAATAATGCAGACAGTTAATTGTTCCAGAAATAATAAAAAAAAATAAAAAACTTTTAAAAAGAATAAATAACCAGTTTTTCAGAGTACTGTAAATCTGAATATTCTTGAAATTCCATTATTCATAATAAATTTTGATTTTATTTTCACTATTTTTTTTTTCAATCATGAAAATGTTAATTATATGTACAAATCTACTTTCCATGAATGAGATTTATTTTGAGACTTAAAATTTTATTCGACCTTCTTGTCATTTCATTCTTTTTAATTCAGGAAAAAAGATCTTAATCTTAAAGTAATCAATAATTTAAGCATTCAGACTCTCAATGTCCAAAATACTAGCGTACCTAAAAATAAAATAAAATAAACACATTACTATTATGTAAAATGTCAATGAAATTTGGTGCCTGTGTCGTGTAAAGTCACTCAGTAACTAACTGGGAAATGTAACGTTACGTTAAAGTGTTAAGTATAATTTCAAGTTTAATACAAATTTTATTAGAACAATACAAGTGGAATTTATTAATGCTTTTTTTCTTCAAGTAGGATTTTAAAGTAAATGACGAAAACATAAAAAATGAATATCTAACTAAATTCTAAAACCCCCAATCTGAAATACATCTTTCATTGATCAAAAAATACTCGTATATACGATAATTTTTTTTTTTTTTTTACTGAAAAAAGAAAAAAAAAAAAAAGACCAAACATCAGACTATTATTTTTTTTTTTTTTTACTTCATGGTCGGGTCGAGAATTTTCAACCGTACCTCATACTTTTTTTTTTTTTTTTTTAATCCGTCTCGTCAAATGAAGTTCTTTCACTCGGTAAATTTCAATTTATGTTAAAAAAAAAAAAATAAATAAATAAAGTAAATAAGAGTAAAAAATAAAATTATTTAAGCCTTCAAAAATAATCACAGATGAAAAAAAAAAATGGGAGGAGGGGGGTATTAATCACGTGCTTGAATGACAATGACTTTTTTCTTCATCGAGTTCTTTAATGGTTTTCCATTTTCTCGGCAAGCGTAAATTATTCAAATTCTTAGAAGAATGATCAATATTATAAATTTCAATATATTTTTTTAAAAATTAGTAATAAAAAATATCTTCACATACAAAGCGGAGCAATAAGAATATCACGCATGGGTTATATAATTAAGGAAAAAGTTACTTTTTTTATTCTAATTATCCAAAATTTAAGCCACAAAAAGTAAGACATCATCGGAACCTTGAAAATGAAATATGCACAATCGGTCAACAAAATTAAGTAGACTTACATTACAAACAACGAGAAATTTTTAATAATTAAAAATGGGAATGAATAATTAAGTAGTGTCATCATTTTACAAATAGATAAATAGAAAAGGAAAAGATTTAGAGGGGAAAAAAATTCAGAAAAACAATTACAAAAAAAGATAAAATGACTGAGTGACAAACAGGGGATCAGAAGCATCAAAAATGGGTAGGTATTTTTTTTCCAAGTGACACTCTTTCGTGCTACCGAAAATGCGAGTAAATAGCAATCAGCAAAACATTAACCAACAGAAATAGCTTGAAATTGCACTTTTGATCTTAACAATATAAAATTAAGACAAAAAATTTAGATGAAGGGAGGGGGAAAAAATAGACTATGAAGCTCTCAACTTGACGCTCGTCATAGTTGCCGTGCACAATGAGTAGCTTAAGTTGACTGCTACACAGTACGGAACCTTAAAAGGAAGAATGGTGAGCAATTCTAAATCATAAGATCATCATCAAAAGACTTAAATGTTGCATAATAAAAATGTTTGAAAGATGCAAATAAAAATTAAAAAAAAAAAAAAAAGAAAATATTTCCGTTGACATTTCATTTTTACTTAACTGATTTGATTTCTCTAACAGATGTTTTAAGTTAAATTGAAAAAGAGAATTAAATCAATGCGAAATAAGGGCTATGCATAAAGTAAGATAATTGGAAATGAAGATTTTACAAACATGCAATGCAATGTTCCAACTACAAGAAAATAACTATACAACATATGCCAAGAAGTTTAACCCCTAAAATTCTTAGATAAGAAATTTAGTAAAGCTGAAAGTTTACCTCTAAAAACCACTGAATTTTATGCCTTTTTAAAATACAATTTTTTTTAGATTAAAAAAATACAAAAAAAAATAAATAAATAAAGTGATTTAAGTATATTTAATTTATTTATTCATTTTTTTTTTTTTACCAAGGAATCTGATTTGAAACAAAACAAAAACCAATGATGAAGTGAAAGAATGTCAATATACACCAACAGAAGAAAGATTGGTACGCTACCAAAAGACATTTAAAATTTACATTAACGTTGGATGATATCGACCAACAGATGTACATACAATAATGCACACAATCTTTCTGGAAGGATTGGTTAAGCATACACATGGTACCAGAGAAATGCGCCGAAGATATAGTGGGCGGGTAGACGCGAACTAAAAGACAGGATATCCCGGCGATTACTACTTAGTCTACTAAGATATCCAACATTGTAAAAATGTAAGCCTATTTCAAAACTAGCATACATACAAGTTCCAGCAAAGTTGAAGTGGTAATAAATAAGCAAGTCCTCTTAAAATTATCAACGGAAAGTTAATGAGTAGTAAATAACGAGGTCATAAGATTAATTAATAATAAATGCAATGCACGCGAGACAGGGTTTGTTAAAAATGTAATTAAAGTCTTAGGCTATTAATTAAGCAACATGATTAACAGAATTGTTCACCAATTACGAATAGGTTTCGAAATATGTAACAGTAGTAGACGTCACATAGTTACATCATTTTTCTTAAAGATATTTTAATAATGCACTAATAATCGACGATGTACGTTAAATTGAGACAAAACATTGACAAAGTAGACTAGACTACTTGTCTAATAGCATTCATTACATTTCGCTAAAGTGAATTCAAATGTCATCTTTTTCAATAAATGAAAAAAAAAAAAAAAAAAAAGGCTCGCCTAATTTCATATTCTTTGACTACCTCGCTCGATGGAAGAGTAGCCGTTTTCGGCATTCGATTATACCGCTTTATTTTGTTACTTAACCAACGGAACCATTATGTTTCCTCAATGGAAACTGAGTCGATACATTTAAAATATATTCCTTTTTTCCCACCTTTGTGGAAGTATTTTTAAACTAATAGAGAAGTCTAAGCAACAGGTAGGATCGAACTAAACAACGAACGTCTCCATTCTTAGCTTAAATTATTTTTACTTAATAAGTTAATCTTCATATTAAAATTATGAAATTAACATTGAAGTAATTTTAGACTTTAAGAAAGAGCCAGTTTTAAACTCAAATTCTTGAAAGCTAACTTACTAAAATAATGTATTGTAATAAAAAAAAAAAAGAAAAATAACAATCGGATATGTTTTAATTTTCCTAAACAAAACATGATTGAATGAAAGTTTCTAAACATTAACAAAAATCATAAAATATAAAACTAAGAAAAGTACACAAGTGAAATTATAAACAATTCTAACCTTAATTATTATCTTGTAGTAGAAATATTCAATTTTGAAACTTACAGAAATCATTGACGAAGGAACGTGTACGTAATAATTTTAATACATGAAATTGAAATGAAATCACTAGTATATTATAATCACCAGAATAAATAAAAAAAATATGCGGTGGGTTTTATAAACAGTTTATGATCAGGAAATGACACGATTTAAAAAACAAAATATGATAAAAATAGTTAATACAAAATTGAAAATCAAACATTATTAATGACAATTTTATTTTTTTGATAAAATGAATAACAATTCAACTATTTTTCCCCCAAATCTAAATCAAATATTAAGCATGTTTCAATCAGACCCAATTTCAAAGACATTTTAATTTAAATAACAAAACATTAAAAATGCTAATCAGAAAATTAAACAAAAAAACGTCAATAAGCAGAAATCATTCGACTGTTCGGTTTAAAAATCAAGTGATCACAAAGTGGGGGAATAAATTAATTGAGTATACAGCTTCATTATTTTGAAAAAGAGATAGGAAACGGTGTGTAAGTTTTAAAGACGTTATAGATTAAGAGAAAGCCTAATAATTAACGAATTTAGAGTATAATAACTGATATATAACCGAAATCTTTACACTAAAATGTTTAATACCGATCCCTCATTTTGTAACCACCCTGTACCGACTGACTCATTATTCATAGTACTCGTACATGTGCTTGCGATAATGTTCTTTGCTCTGATGTGGGTTACCTATTAACCTAACCGTCTTACTTCTCTCATAGAACTTCCGGTACAACCAGATCTGTCATGTTACCTAATATCAAACCATTTATCTCTTGATATCAAAGCGAAAATCATAAATTTCTTCAGCGATTTTTAGCTATTCCAACTGTCGCTTCGTTAATTTATACAAAATGGCGACTGGGTTTCGTAGTCACTGTCAACTTCGGAATCCAACTCCGTCAGCGTTAGTAAAAGAAATGGCAGCACTAATCTAGCGAACACACCGAGATGATGAAGAGATCACTTACCTGAGGGGTGGTAGCCTGTAATTGTTTTTGAAATGCGTCCCTTTCCCTTTCAACTTCAGCTAATTTCGCCTGTGCAAGACTATAAGCATCTTGAGTCTCACGTAAGGTTTCCATCAACTTGTCGCGTTCATCCAGCATGTTAACCATGAGCTGTTCGAAATTGGCGTCATCTTGAGAGCCCTGAGACTCCCGATCATTCGACCCATCCTCCGAAATCGTTGGCATCACGTCGCACATCATCTTGGCTGCTTTAAGATTTGAGAAACTTCATTTACTTAAAAAAAAAAAAAAAATATCGGAGTCGAATGGCTCGTTAAAGTAAAAAAAAAAACCCACCACCGCCACCTCTATTTAAAATCATTCACTGGTGAGTAGTGTTGTTATATTATTCCAAGGTAGTCCACACACTCCTCAGAGTTCCGCCTACGGTTATCCATACTTTCTGCTGCATAAAATCCTAGTCTTTCTGTTAAAGTTCATCAGCAAAAACATCTCCCCCAATCACACATTTACACAATAAGAATAAATAAGAGTCATGTTGGGCTCACGGGTCTCTTTTCTAACAGGGTCGTTACGTATCTCCCTCACACAGAGACCATTTTGGAAGCCATTTTTCTTCCTCATAAATTGTGTCATTCCCATAATGCATCAAAATGGCCTCTCTAGTGTGATTCTTTGCCACTTGATGGCGTTATTCATAATGTAGCAGGAGCCAAGCGCCCGACGCTGCTGCTGCTAATTCTCATCATCATCATTATGATGATGATGATGCTGCTGCTCTTGTTAATGCTGATTATTGACTTGATGCTATTCAACCGACACATTCAACAACACACTAGCCCATCACAGCTGAAAGCTATTGAACCGGTATTCGGCTGCTAGGCAGTTACTCGAACGAGAAAACACCCTTCTGTATTTTCAGCACCCCACTGTCGCTTCCCGCCGTTATAAAGACGTACATTTTATAAATATACATTGCAATATCTCCCAAATTCAGTTTAAAGATCTTATTTCAGGGCAACTGAATCGTTTGGTTGCATGCTATACTTGCTAGTGTAGCAGCTGGTCGAATGCATTTTTGTCGAGATAGATCGTTCAAATAGACGCAATCCGTGCCGTGTTAATAGCCTTTTTGGGCTTGACTCGGCTAATCATGCATTGTTTTGTTACTTCCAAACGGAATATTGAAAACGATTCAATAAACATGAGAAGGCTCATTTAACAGCCATTAGGCAAGATTTCAATCAATATGTGGAAATGTCAAAAGTGTCCAAGAAAGGGCGACGAAATAAACCGCAAAGGGATAGTCTGTTCACAGGTAAGTCAAGCAAAGAGTTCTTCGTTGTTTTGTTATGTCGTTATTATTATTCTGAACCTTAAACCGTTAACGATCGACAATTAACCCTTGAAAGACTTTCGTTGTTTTCTAATTTTTAGGCATTTTTTTTTAAATTTTTATCCCAGACCTTCAAGTTGTCTGTTGTGGTCGTTTAGCTTTCTTTTTAACATCAATCTTGTTATTTTGAATGTATAATCATGAAATCGAGCATGGCTCTAAAATTTTTACGAAAAGCTCAGTTTTTAGCGACAACATAGAAAAAAAATGATATTGTTGCTTTTTAAAATGTTGTTGATCACTTAATTTATTTCGCAGTAATTTAGGTAATTGCTTAAAGTAAGTAAAGAAAGTTTATATACTTTATTGTACAAATTGGTTCAATTCAATTTATTGAGTTTGTAGCAGATGTGATAATTTTAGGTTTGTTTTACTTTTATAATTTTTAAATTAGAAATGAATTTCGTCAAGACCCCCCTTAACTGAACCATATAAATTATTTATTTTTATCATATATGTAAACCTTCTTTGTCATAAATAACAATTGATCAGAGGTTATTTCGATCTGATCAGATAACATCTTATTCTTATAAAATCCGTTAAAAATGTCTTACGTGGCTGTCTTCATTTTAAAATAATAACACTAATAACAGTGGACGGCATTAAAAAAATTATATCAATCGATTCTTGAATGTTTAAAAAATATTTTCTGGGAAGAAAGGATCTAAATATTAAAAAAAAACTTTTTTCGCCTCTTGCAAGAGTTATTCCTTTTTTGGTGATTACAATTAGGAAAACAATTTAAGTGTTTTTTTTTTTGTTTTTTTTTTTCCTCCTTTAAACTAAAACAGGATAATTATCTCCGGTTTCTTAATGTTTTTTTGGGTTTTTTTTTTCCAGTCACAATTAAATTATTTTTTTACTCAAGGTCAAGAAGCATGGGTAGGACCATATGGATTTTTAAAAAAAACTTCAAGTTTAAATGTTTTGTTTTGTTTTAAAATTTTATATCCACTTATAAAAAAAAATGTGTCTTTTTTATTTTTTTAATGATTTTTATCAAACTTGGAAACATTTCATTTCAGAAGGTTATATCACTGAATTGCAATTAAATCAAAACTATTTTTTCCCTAAGTATTTGTTCTTTTGAAAAACATTATTTTTATTTGGATGAAAGCTTTCCTGATAATTTTAAATATTTCTTTTTGTGGTTTTTGAGTCGTGGAGGGAATATTATTCAAGAGAGGTTTTGCAATAACAAATCAGTTATCATCTTTTATGGATTGTTTGTTTGTGTTTTTTTTTATTATAACAATAACAATTGTTTTCGTAAATACTTACCATTAAAACTAAAAGTTAAAACTTTTTAACGATAAAGTGTTTACGAAAACAATAATAATAGACTTTAAATAAGTTTTAAGTTAAAACTTTTAAATGTCAATTATTTTATTGATGACTAACTTCTTTTCAGGGAACTACGAGCTAATTTCCGTATTTAGATCCAGTTGATGTGACAATGTCATTTTTAAAACTCAGAAATTCATTAATTAATAATTTGCAAAACTTTAAAAAAATAAGAGTAAGACAATTAAAAAAGAAAACCTTTTAAAGAGTTTATTTTTTAATATTTAAGATAAAAGGTTCATTCGCTCTGGGTACATTTTATAAAGATGCGGTCCCAGGTGAAATATGGTGACGTATGCGTTGACGTCACGTCCAAACTTGAGAAAGTTGTTACAATTTAAAAAACGAATGAAAAATATTCAAGAGACCAAAAGTCAAAAGTAAATACTAGAAATAATTCTTAATTATAAAAAAACTAATTATTAACTATTAAAAAAAACATTACAATTGAATTAACATCACATACCACCGAGTGGCGTTTTTATTGTTATTAAATTACTAATTAATTATTAATTAAATAACCTCATCTTTTCTCTTAAAAAAATCCTTGAATCTAGATATGTCAGCACAGAGGTCACCACAATCCACCTGGGACCGCTTGATTATAAAAGTACCCACCGTCTGTAATGGCATTTTTACATGACTTCCTCATAGTCTTAAAAATAAATGTGATTTCGGTGAAGAGGGTTTTCCAACCTTTTTTAGACAGCTTTCGTCACCAGCTGGAATTTTGCGATATTTTTTAAAAGTTTCATTAATTTAAGCGGAAGCCTTTCGTTATCTAAATCAATAATGACTTAAAAATAGCAAAGAAAACCATAATATTGAATTTTAAAAAAAAAATAAACAAAATCCTGAAAAGCTTTTTTATTATATTTAAAATATATATTGGAAAACACCAATGTTGTTTTTTTTTTAATTTATCATGTCTCGATCATGATTTGTATTTGTAACTTACTACTTACCTGTACTATGACTGACAAAGAAATGTTTCTGCTGCTACTAGGCTAACAATAGTTTTAGTGATTTAAAGATCAAAAAAATAGAACAGATATGTAAAGAAAGCACCCTCATCACTTGTTTAAATTTTTTTTTATTATTATTTATTTTTCTTGCATTCACATGGTTCAGGTAGGTGTATCTCTTCCTCGTGGTCCAGGTACTCTAGGCTTAGTGCAGTACAAAAGGTGGGTGTGGAACTCTGCTTTCCGACTTTAAAAATCAGCATTCAAAATCTTAACTTTTACCAAATCTAATAAGCTGAGAAATCACTTGTTGCTTCGGTATATGAAAATACCAATTTTAATTTGATATTTTTAACTTTTTATCAAAGAAAGGCGTTTTTTTAACACACACACACACATATATATATATATATATATATATATATATATATATATATATATATATATATATATATATATAGGTGGTTGTCCAGAAAGTTTATGCTTATTTTTAAGGTAAATTAAAACGCAAAACAAAATTATGCCATTAAATATTTATTAAACTAAATATGCTCCATTTTTCCTTCAACTTAAAGATTCCATCTTCTCAGAATTTTGGTGGCTTCTTGGCAAAGAACTCATTAAGGTGGGTTTTTTTTTATGTCATCCAAAGAATTAAAATTTTTACAATTGAGATTATTTTGCAAGGACCTGAATAAATGAAAATCCAAAGGAGCAATGTCTGGTGCATATGGCAGGGGGAGTAAGCTGCAACAATTTTTGCTGGGTTGCCAAAGAAACATGAGGTCTGGCACTATCCTGATGGAAATCAACACCTTTTCTGTTCACCAATTCTGTGCATTTTTCTTGAATTGCTGCCTTTAATTCCTCTAGTTACAAGCAGTACTCTTCAGAATTAGTTGATTGGTTACTTGGCAGAAGCTCATAGTACAGGATTCCTTTCCAGTCCCACCAGATGCACATCATGACTTTCTTAGGATGAAGACCTGCTTTTGAGCTGGCTAAAGTTGGTTCATGTTGCTTACCCCAAGAACTTTTTCACTGATCATTGTTGTAAATGATCCATTTCTCATCACCCGTGACAATTTGCTTCAAAAAGGGTGCACTTTCATTGTGTTTATACAGAAAATCACAGGTGAAATGCAATCCAAAAGATTCTTTTACTCAGATCATGTGGTACTCAAACATCACAATTTGAGTACCCACGCTTCATTAAGTGCTCACAGATGATGTATTTTGATAAATTTAATGTTTATGCCAATTTCCGCGTTGTGTAATGTGGATTATTTTTAATTACTGTCTTGATTTGGTAATCATCTGTAATGGAGGGGGTTTGCCTGAGCGTTCTTCATCAATAAGGCTACAATCAACAACACTAAACTTAGTGATCCACTTTCATATAGCACCTTCACCATACACAGCACATATCTTTTTGTTGCCTGTGTGGCATTATTGCCTTTACAGTAAAAAAAGAAAGAAAAAAAGCATCAAGTATATAAAATACACCTTATAATCTTCCATTTTCATAGGGATGCAAAATTGACACAAATTAAGTAATTTTAAACTTTCTTTCTCGAGAGATAGTTTGAGGTGTGCTCTAATTGAAAATGTAAGCATATTATATCTATCGATAAATTTGACATGTTCTAACATAAATGACTAAAGATCTGCATGAAATTTCTACACAACCTTTTTTATATATAATATATATATTCAAATTTATAACATGCATGTTATAAGATCTCTACAAAATTGTTTTGACACTTCTGATATCTTATTAAGTGATGATGTTGAATGGAAAATAAATGATTTTAAGAGTTCAAAAGCCAACCAAACCCCTTGGTAGGGGAATCTTTGTTACGTAACCTATGATGACCAATCAGAATACAAGTATATGGTAATTTAAAATAACATGACAATATACCCTAAGTACAATCAATTAGTGCATTAAAGTTAAGATTAGATTAAATTAGAAATCAATATAACAAATTACATTTTCAGTTAACAGTTAAATTAAAAATTTCAAATGTCAAATTCTAAATTTAAACAAGCATCATGTTTAATATTATTTCAAGATTATTCAGAAATCAAACTAGGTGAAAAAATATATTTTATTGTTCTTTGCAAAGCGCCAATTTATCAGTTAATTTCGGCACTTATTAAAAATTATCTCTGATTGCTACACATATTTGATACATGGAATTCAAATTTCAAATAATGTGGTAGGTAGGTGGGAAGGGAATTTTCAAATGACAGGACATTCACATAATAATACACAAGCACATGTATAAGTAAATGTATGAGCACAAAAACACAAGGAAGTATATTCACACAGGAAATAGAGGAAGGAAAAATGCATAAAATAACAAAAAATAAGAATAAGAAAGAATAAAATTGAAGGAAACATACACATAAAAAACTATGTAAAAGAAAATTGTCTGACATATGTATATACAGGTAAAAGCATATACAAGCAATCACATGCACATACAAATATATGAATAATCACTCACCAAAATTCAAGCAAAAGCACACTAATAAATCTAAACATTTCAACCATCAATATTTTACATACACCAATAAACATAGATAAAGAGGATCATATCAAAATAA